ACGGGGCCGAGCACATACATCAGTGATGTACCCGGTTAAACTCAACTCAGATAGCCAAACCAGTTCAAACCACTCGAATTCCAATGAGCTAAACCTCAAACAAGAGAAACGGACGTCCGGTATTTAGATCACCTCGATCTGGCTAGTAAGCGCTACTGTTTCATTCGAGTGATGGTATGCAACTACTCATTTTAATTAATCAGTAGTATATAGTTTCGTGCAAATAAACTTGCTTTCTTAGTTGCCATTTATGGCACACAAAGGCAACTGTGGTGAAAATTTCATTTATGATAAAACTATTCTCTACACAAAAGTAACACTAAGGAGTCATATTCAGTCGTTTCATCTCTTTCATTCACCCTTATTTCACTTTGAATTTATCTATTTACCAATAGCACATCTATTTACATAAGTGATGAGTTTACTTTCAGTTAAACACTTCCATATTCCTCTGGCCTGGCAAGTATATGTACACAAGAGTATATGGCAACGAAATTATTTATCAGCAACTAAATTTACAGATGTAGTGAAAATACGTCTATCATATACTTTGATCGAATACTAGTCATTGACTAGTGTAGTGTGTCTAGTCCTTTGTCTGGTGCATAATGAATTCTATCACAGTCAAATTCGCAATGTGGCCAGCATGCTAAGTGGCTCGCCATCACGGTGCACTCTGAGTTGTTGTTATTATTAGATGGTTGGAGGCAATCGGCCACAGGAACCCTTGTATGACCTAAGTTTCGTGCTTGTTGTCACTCACCAGTCAGCAAGGCGTGTCTGCGACCTTGAAGGGACTTATATCCCTTCCGAGATTCGAACCCCTGTCACCCAGTGCTGCAGTCAGAGACATTACCACTGACTGAGCTATTATTCGGGCTCAAGCTTCTTGCTGTTTCCCTCCAACCATCTAGCGTGCGTCGGTGGCACAGTGGTTATAAATCTCGCCGACCATGCATACAGTCCGGGATTCGCCCCCTACTGACGCACACCTGATATCTATGGTCGGCCTGCAAAATTTGGGCTATCGATATCACATGCTGAAAATTCCATATCTGTACCAAAAAATACGGTGTGGAATCAAGCTGTAATAAAAATTAAACCAAAAATCAAAATCACAGTTTACAAATATCTTTGGTATTGTGTTACTTTGTCTTCCTTTCATGTTTTCCATGTTTTTTTCATGAGCATCATTCATTTCTTCTCTTCACCATTCAATCCATCCATTTTTCCACCATTCGATATTCTTGCAGATGATATTTATATTTATATTCGCATCTGTATACTACTTATATATCATATTAGTAGCACACGCCAACTATTTATCTTATAACTTGAGATTTTCTAAACCAAAATCTTACTGAAGAATTTCCCTGAATAATAAAATTATCCAAAAGTGTAACAGAATTTCAAGATTCATGGTTTTCATTTTAACTCCAAAACTAACTTAACTAAGAATGAATAATTTTATTATTTTTTGCTAAAATAAGTAATATGCCGTACTTTTTTTTAAAAAAAAACATAAGAAGCTATCTGGCTAACAACATACAGCTAATGTCTTTGCTATTATATCGAACTGATTTTTACTGTAATGAATTTCAAATGAATATTTTGTTGTTGTTTGCCTGTTATGCATTCAGAACGAAAATAATTACAGTGAATAAATGTTGTTGTTTTTTTTATTTTATTATCCCTTTACACTCTCCATGGAACATAGGGCTCCAACCTAGAGGCTTGAAGTTTCAGTAGCAGTGGTATTTATTTTTTTACGGGATGCAGTCGCTAGCCTCATGCCCAACCTTACCTCTTTACCAGTCTTACTACTGGCTTAGTGAGGTAAAGGAGTGCGTTGGCGGCCGGGGATCGAACCCCGACCCACATATGGCCTGGTTGGTGAGCATTCTACTGTTGTGCTATCGACGCACCATTGAATAATTGTACTTTCAACAAATTCTTCTTCAGAATCTACAATTAGAATATCCAATAGCTGCAGTATATAATAGCCAGCTAGTAAAGGCTAATTAGAATTCTAACAGAAAGTGTATTGTATGATACGAGTGCAAGATAGAATATTAGTCAGTTAGTTTTGATTTTTATTATTTTTGATTACACCTTGATTCCACACTGTAATTTTTGGTACAGGTATGGAATTTTCAGCATGTGATATCGGTAGCCAAATTTTGCAGGCCGACCATAGATATCAGGTGTGCGTCGGTAGGCGATCGAACTCCGGACCATGTGCATGGTCGGCGAGAGTCCTAACCACTGTGCCACCGGCGCACTTTTAGTATAGAAGTATATTTCGTTAATAAGAACATGAGTTGAGATAATTCAATGATGTATGTGTATAAATATGTAGTCAACAGAAGTACAGGTTACAAGGGTAAGTGTAGTCAGTGGTTTGTGAGACAAGATAAATATTACAGAGGAATGTACAAACAAATATATATGTATGTGAAAATGTACCTGTATGCTTGAGTAAACGGAAACTAAATGCTTAAATAGTCCAGTCTTAGCCCACACTTAGTATATACTAGACACTAAATAAAACCACAGAAGGAGTTTTTATCTACCGCATTACTTCTGATCTATCCGGAGGAGCTCGACTACATCCATCAGTAGCTGAAGCGGCAGCAATCAATACCAGAAGAATTGATCTCTGTATACAGGAGTATGTCCCAACCGCTATGTTTACCTTGGTCTAAAATAAGACCAACCAGTCTTGCATAAACATTGTTACTTTCAGTTCCCATCCCATTCTTTTCTTCTTTTTTCCTGTTTCATTGGCAAACGTTTATTTCAGACCTTTCGCGACTTCGTGACCTTGCTTATTATGTCTATTACCTAAGGCTTACCAAATGGTTTTCTGACTTGACATGATATTTGCACAATCCTGTTCATTCCACTTCACTAAATTCATTGTTTTAATAATAATCTGCTTTATTCTAAAAGCAGTATTTATAATACACAATGGAATTCTCAGCATTTGTCACAATATTGCATCTGATTTACTCAAAATATAAATAAAATTAATAATTAAAACAAAATTAACTGAAGGAATTTGTCCACATTTACGATATAAAGTCAAAAATATTCGAAGTACGAATTGAGAATATTAAATATAATAATAAAAGTAATTATAATTGTAATAATAGTGAGTTTGTTTCAAACAGTTTTGTCGATTCAGTTTGGAAATTTCAGCATGTTATAGATTATTGAATCTAATGTTCTGTTGATATAGTATGGTGAGGAGAAATACAAAATTAATAGTTATAACACAGCTTAAATTATGTTCACACTTATGAAAAAATAAACACAAATTGAGAGGATTATAAATATAGGAAGTACAATAACAATAAAGGTTGATGTTGTAAGGATGGAGGAAAAGGTTTATTTAGTAGTGCAAAGAAGGTTAGTTAGTTCATGCCTAACACTATTTTCATCACGTAAAGTACGTGCCAAATATGGTGTAGAGGAAGGTTTAATACTCAGACGTAAGTGCATAAAGTCTTTTGAAGCGACTTCTTGTTTTACCTGAGGTGACACAAGATTGGAGCTGCGGTGAATGATCATAGTCTGACAAAATTTCTATAGCAAATTTGTTGCATGAAATCAAGTGCCTATCAATGACAACGTCAACGATATGGCCCAATGAGATACCACTCGCCTTACTGACAGCCAGTCTTCAGAGTTCTACGAAGTACGACATAGTCCTTTGTAAGCAATCCAGGAAAGAATAAGAGTGAACAGTAAAGAAGAATAGGTTAGATGCAAGAGTTGACAAACTGTAAGAGGAGGAGTTGAGTTATGCCTGAGTGCTTTAACTTTTTAATGTAAAATGTCAGATGAAATATTCTTTTAGAAATCGCTAACCGTTCACTAGTAGTACTTTTAAGTTTACACCACACCACTGTTGATATAAGTATAAAACTTGGGCACTGTGGTAGTGTGTAACTCCATTATGGATAAGATTTTATTTTGATAAATCACATAGTGTTACACAGTAATATTAACTGATGACGTTTCAAGTACAAACTATTGCTCATAATCATATCAAGTTACTCACACAATGTTTCATTGAATCTACACTCAACCCATGCAACCGAAATGACTCAATGGAAATACCAGAAATATGGAAGATATTATTACCACCAGTCAAATCAGAAGAGAATAATAAATAATCTCAAAATTCTATTTCATTTCAAGCAAATCACAACATTCTAACAAATTACTCATTATAACTAAAAGAACATTCGTCTTATTTCCCATCTAATTGTATTTGATCAATAACACTCATATTATTATCTCTAAATGTACATTATCTTATATTGATTTTTATTCAAATATCTAGTCAATTCCACACATGTATATAAATGAAGGAAAAAGTTTTGTGAGTAACTTGATATGATTATGAGCAGCAATAGTTTGTGCTCGAAACGTGGTCATCAGTTAATATTACTGTATAACACTGTGTGATTTATCAAAATAAAATCTTATCCATAATGGAGTTCCACACCACTGTTTTTATTTCACCATCATCATTATTGCTGTTATTTGTCACCCTTGAAGTTACGTCAAGTCTATCCCATTTGTTGGTTTATTTCTCTGTGATATTTATCTTGTCTCACAAACCACTGATTACACTCACCATTGTAACCTGCACTTTTATTGACTATATATTTATACACACAAATATCACTGAATTATCTCAACTCATGTTCTTATCAACCATACATATTTCCACATGATAATCATAACTAACTGACTATTATTCCATCTTGTACTCGTATCACACAATGCACTTTCCGATGTAATTCTAATTTGCCTTTACTGGCTGGCTATTGTGTGCTAAAATTAATGGATATTCTAATTGTAGATCCTGAAGAAGAATTTACTGAAAGCACAATGGTCCACTCTAATTATTTTCACTCGAATATTCCCATAATTTATTCAAAGTTACTATGCATATTCATTTTATATGTGTCTGTATATTTTTTCAGCAACTCATATGCATACTATGACAAGAGAATTAAGAGAAAGACTTTCTAAAATGCAACTTGGAGGAGGAAGTGGTCTCAAGTCAGTTCCTATACCGACAACTACACTTGATAAACCAGATCAAAGACTATCTAAATTTGCATCACAAGAAGAAGTTGCTGAATGGTTAGTGGCTCATCAATTCTCACCAAAGTAAGTAGTTTAATAAAGGTAAAAGAAAAGATTGAAATGTTTGTATGAAAATTTATAACACTTTACAATATATTACTGTTATGCAGAAGAAAGTAGGGATGGTTAGGGCATACGCTGAGACTGTTGGGTGGCATCGCGCGTCAGGCCCTCGAGTGGGGCTTCCGAGGGTGACATAGAAGTGATAGTGTAAGGAGATAAGAGACTATGGGCAATCGTGGGGCCGGATTAAAAGGACAGCAGAGAACAGACCAAAATGGAGACATACTGTTGCAGCCCTACGTTCCGCTTGGAACCCAAAGGAACAATAATATTAATAAATATATTACTGTTATGACCGATAATACGACCTAGCAAACTATTCACAATTACAACGTCGATCACCACAACAACAATTTCTCCGCACTGGAAATAGGACAGAATGCGAACTGTTGGTGAGACAGCTTTTACTGTCTCAAGTAACAATTCAAATTAGTATATAGTAGTTATTATCTATTTAGATACACAGATAGATTTAAAAACAGAATCAATCAACAGACTAAATAATAAATATCGATCCGATATCATTTAGCATGCGATTTTTGAAAAAAAGCAAAATCAATTGAAATGCTAATTATAACTCTTCATCTCAATACGAAATTAAGGGCATATAACAGCAAAATTAGGGGTACTCAGACATACTATATGTAGGCTTGTCTATTAGCCAGTACAATCACTGACTATTGCTCAAGTAATACAGATGGACATATTGCATTGTTCAGTTTCTTATGCATTTTGACAGTATATTACTTTTAGAAAGATTCAGTAGACGGCATCTTATTTGGGTCTTTTTGTTTAAGTTATAACTAGTAGGTAGAAAGCTACATTTTCACTAGTTTCAAAACTTAATAGTATGAAATCTAATTCTGTAGAGAAGCTGCACTTCTGATAGAGCCTTCATAACCACTTTTGAAATGAATGTAGAAATACACAGTTTATTTAAGCGTTTCATCAAAAAAGATACATTACTTTGACTTTTTACTTTTGAATAGTGCAAAGTCAATAACCTCACGTAGAGGGAGGGCACACAACCAGCCATCACCACTGTTCCCAACCAACAGTGAGTTTAGACAGGGTTGCCCAATCTTCCCATTTCTCCTTAACTTTGCCATCGATAACATTCTAGAGTCAGCTGTGGAAGACGTGAGTGGTGTTGTTATGATTCCAGAAGAAAGACTTTTCGACCTCAAATATGTGGACGATATCGTCTTATTGTGAGATAGCATGCAAGCTGCCGAAACCGCACTTAATGTCAGTATCTGTAAGTATGGTATGTGTTTTGTGCCGTCGAAGTTCAAGGTACTGTCGTAAGATTGGCAGGAGCCTCTACTTGCACCCACCCTTTTAGGTCAACCACTTACAGTTATCAACAAATTCGCGTATCTGGATAATTGTGTGAGTGCCAGTGGTGTGACGGACCGTATAATGAAAGCTAGGGTGGCATAAATCAATTAGGGCCACTGCTGGCACTATCGCGATGTCAGCCTGGGTTTCGAACTTAGAGATTACGGTGGCCCAGTGAGCGCAGTCTTACCCTACACATGTGAAACCTGTCTTATCCCAGCTGAGGGTGTAAGGTGAATCTGCATATTCGATCATCGCTGTCTTCATAGAATTGCTTGTGTCCGGTAGCAACATCGTGTAAGTAAGTCCGGGTCTCGACAACGTGTGTTTGAACATCTTGGGGGTCACCATTCATTGAGTGTCGTCACCTAGAAACACCAGCTTCGATGGCTTGGACATGTGCTACGAATGTCATCCAGGTGGCTTCAGTACCGGTCTCTGTTCTCTATCCCTAGGGCTGGGTGGAAAAGGCGGAAAGGTGATCAGCCTGTGACGTGGCGTCGTAGGATGAGGAATATTTGTGTTACGTTAGCATCAGTTGGTACGAAACCACGACTTTTTCATTGGGATCCGGTAGTTTAAATCAGTAGCTCGGAACGTTATTGGATATGACCAAGAATCGCAATCAATGGTGAACATGCTGCAACTTCCTTCCTTCCTTCCTTTCTGAATGTGGCATGAAGTAATGAACTTTGAATAACGTTGACAAATATGTTTTCTTGCTTTGTAGACGACGTCCCTTATTTATTCTCTGCTTATTGTTATTGTTGTTTTAATATTGTTGTGTGGCGTATACGTCTCTTGGTGCCCATCCTGTGGCCAAGTTTGTATTTTAAATAAATAAATAATAATAAACGTACGAAGCTTGGAGTTGACGTAGAACGAAATATCTGTCTCTCTTATGCGCAGACGAAGAAGTAATTTGGAAACTACTTCAACACTACGGTGCACCTCAAGTCTTTTTCAACCCCATTCAACAGCTATATGACAATGCCACGTGTCAAGTGATCCATAATGGAAAACTCAGCGAGGCGTGTGAAGTGCATACAGGAGTAAGACAAGCTGGCTGCCTATTATCACCGATGATATTCTTAATTGTGGTGGACTAGATGGTGCGTCAGACTGTTGGGGGTGAGGAGTCAGGAATACGCTGGACAACCGATAAGAAGATTCTAGAATATCTGGATTTCGAAGATGATATGTGTCTAATGTCACACAAAATCGAAAACTTGGAAACAAAGACCAACAAACTGGCATAAGAGGCTGGTTGGCAGCGAAAACGGGACTGCAGGTTGATAACCAACCAACAGCAACAATAACCAGCACCAATCACCATCAACAGGAGAGATTTAACAGAGGTTGTCTCGTTTACTTATCTGGGAAGCATCGTTTCAACTGCAGGCGGAAGGGACGAAGATGTCAAAGTCAGGATCGGAAAGGCAAGATATGTCTTCATCAACCTGAAACCAGTTTGGAAATCTTCTGCACTCCACCTCAACATAAGGAGCAAGATTCGCATTTTCAACATCAATGTGAAGTCGGTTCTTCTATACGGGTCAGAGGCTTGCACTGTGTGTAACCAAAATGATTTCCGACAGGTTGCAGACTTTCATCAACAACTGTCTTCGGTCCATACTGAAGATCAAATGGCCAGAAAGCATAAGCAACAAGAAACTATGGGAACAAACAAACCAGGAGCCGATCGCTCAACAAATATGCAGGAGAAAGTGGATTTGGACCGGACATATATTGAGGAGGCCACCAAATGACATCGCACGCCAGGCCCTCGAGTGGAATCTCGATGGGAAGCGATGGGTGGGTCGTCGGTGTGACGGTGACATGGAGGAGATCGTGTGAGGAAGAGATGAGGGAGTTTGGCCAATCGTGGACTCGGCTGAAGAGGACGGCAGAAAACAGAACAAAGTGGAGATGTGTTGTTGAAGTTCTATATTACACTCGGAACGCAAGGGAATAATAATAATGTGGAAATTCATCCTACCAGTCTAAGAGTTATGGACAAGGTTTGGCAGTTATTGCAGAGATATGAATACATCAAAGGACATCTTGTACAACTGCATATCGGTCCAAGTTTATTTACTACATTTCACGTTGGCACTTCAAGATGAGAATTAGTTATTTTAAGAAAAACCGGGAAATATACCAGAATAGCTTCATTGGTGTAATCAATGAAGCCATAAGTATAAGATGATAAAAGCAATAAATGCAGATAGTATTACAATTTAAATCATACGGCACTTTAACATCTGTGATCGACTCCTTAACCACAGTTAAAAAGTCTGTATACCATTTACACAAGACTTCATTATAACACTATCCTGCTAGAAAACTTCATCATATTTATTTTTTTTCCTAAACTTTAGAACTATATCTGCCTTGAAAGGATTCAATGGAATGGATCTTTATACAATGAATCGAACTCAACTAGAACAGCATGTTGGACCCGAACGATGTGATGAACTCTTTTATGCATTCCGTGGCACTTAAGAGAATTTAACAATCAAGATTTAAAAAATTATGTAAGTTTTTTTCTGAGTTTCATTTCAAAATGGTTAACTATTTCTCTAATATTTTAATGCCCTGATAAGGCATCCCCTTTTTTTATTCCTTCACGTTCCGCGTGGAACATAGGGCTTCAAGCTATAGGCTTGAAAGTTTCTGTAGCAGTGTTTATTTTTACAGGATCGGGTTGCTACCCTGATGCCCAACCTTTCCTCTTTACCAGTCTTATTACTGGCCTAGCGAAGTAAAGGAGTGCGCCGGCCGGGGATCGAACCCCGGACCATATGCATGGTTGGCGAGCGTCCTAACCGCTATGCCACCGACGCACCGGTTTAAATAATACACATTTACAAAACAACACTAACTAGTATTAGATATTAGTTTTGCCTAGTTTTAAGACTGTTTCACAGACTTTGTTGGGTAAAACCGAAAAATATCAGTAATTACAGCCGCCATATTAACGGTCTAATCACTTTGATTGAACACTGGATAGTAGTAAGTAACTAGTGTCAGGCGTCTAGAACTCTTTTTGGTGCCGGATGAATTCTATCAGTCAAGTTAGGTTAGGACATGTGTTACGTGTACCTAGCTATCGCCTTCCTCGACTGACGGGTGGTGTTAGCTGATACAGGATTGATCAGGTTGGAAAAGTGTTAGCTAGTGGTGGTCAAACCAAAACATGGCTTCATCAGTCAATGAAATCCATAACAGTCACGTACGGAGGTGTTGACTGCTGTCTGGTTGGGGTGCTAGGAATGGTAAAAGCCAATGAAGGCTAGAGACAATTGGTGATATGGCTCAAAATCCTCATTCTCAATAGCGCAGATTCATCCCACTCCTTGCGATTTATAATATTCAACAAAATTCTATTTTGCTTCCATATTACTATTCTTTTTACCTCATATTTCTGTTTATTATCTCTCTCCCTCTACTTATTTCTCTTGCTTTGTATGCTACATGGAGTGTGGCGACTCGAACTGCTGCACATCTGCTCAAAGTTCTACATTGAAACCAGTCAGTTAGTCAAGTTTGCAATATGGCCAACATACTAACTAGGTGGTTCTTCATCACAGTGCACTGTTGTTATTAGATGAATGGAGGCAATCAGCAGCAAGCCTTCGACCTAGGTTTCGTGCTTGTTGTCACTCACCAGTCAGCAAAGCGTATCAGTAGTCTTGAAGGAAATCATGTCCCTTCTGAGATTCGAACCAGTGTCACCCAGTGCTGCAGTCAGTGACGTTACCACTAATCTGTTCAGGCTCACAATTTCCTTCAACCATCTAATAACGGTTCAGTCAAGAGGACAGAATCTAATGATCGATATAATCCAAAGATTGTTCCGAATGGTTATTGTTATTCATCTCCCCCACAATCTTTATTTTGTTAATTTCTGACATTCATTTCTCAGAATTAATTCAATCCTATTGAATATTAGATGCACCTTAAATAACTTAGTGGTAAGACCTATCTCTGGCTTTGAGCGAGGTGGGTTGTAATAACCGAAGGAAGGAGGTTTCCCTTTATTATTCAATATAGAAAAGATGAAGCGTTACAAGAAATTAAACTTCGCAAAAGTATCAAAGGAGGAATTCCAACAGTTGCTGACTGTCCCCTAGTTTTAGATAAACTCTTGTAGTTCTACTACTGACAGCAGTCTTTCATCACTTCGACACTTCGAGGAGAATAAACTTTGAGTATTTTATGTGTACAGAAACTCACTAATCTACTTAATCTAAAAATCTTCATCACTGTTAGAACAACATAATAACAGGCATACTTCAAACTCCCTTATACCTACTCTAATTTTTATCTGCTGGAACAGATAAGCTAAGAAAACAAGAAAAGGACCAAATTACGATAATTTGAATGTATTCAAGTGGTAGTAGTAGTTGGATAACTAAGCGCCTATTTAAAAAGCATGATAACAAGTAGGTGGCCTAGGTAAATTCGAATTAAAAAACTTCGTACAATTTCTTATTTTCCATTTCTTTCTTAATTTTACGGTATTTATTTAAACTCTGATTATCTATCCACTCCACCCTTAGTATTACGTAACTTTTAAGATTTGACCTTATTTATTGAAATGTTTACATGAACATACTACCTAAGTTATTCTTATCGTCACTTGCATAAACTTCTTGTACTTTCGTGGTCAAGTAAAAATTACGAATTGCTAGAAGTTAGAATTCAAGGACCATTGATTCGGGTCCCAATAGCTGCGAGTTTGACTTGTAACCGGGAGATCCTAGGTACGAAATTATGATAAGTCCCAGACTAGGACGAAACAGATGTCTAGTACTCCCTGCTGGTTTTCAATGGTTCTCTAAATGACATCAATCCATGGTCAAACTTGAAAGAGATTATAATGACTGTGAAGGCACAGCTAACAGATAGTGTACTATACTACGTATGAGTAACTCCGCTTGAACAGCTAGAACTCTGAAAAGGAAACACGCAGATCATTCCGCCACTTATATTTGTAATATCACAAGACAGTTTAGAAGATTACGTTCTTCTGTGAAAAGCCAACTGTGTATAAATGCAACTATGAATATGGCTTAAAATAATATCAATATTAGTTACAAAATTAAAGACAACGATTTTGTCTCTTTTGTATGCCTTCTTATAAATAGAGACCTACTTATCAGTGATGTGAACCCAATGAGTCTACCTTTATTTCAACAAAACACGCGCCTAAGCTCTGATTCCCCCTTTATTTTAGAAATGATGGTGTTTCTATGGTAATGCATCCAAGGTACTCTGAAGGACAATACTATTTTCAAAAGAATGGATACTGAACAGAGAGTACTCTTTTCGATAACTTTATCATCAGGCTCTACAGTTATATATTTGTGGCCAGTTTGCACCATATGGTCCAATATCGAACTGTTAATGGTTTTAACTACACCTTTACTTAGCCATAGTGGGATATGTTCTCGAGAACAAAAAATCAAGTTCCTAGAGCAACGGCCAATATAACTCGCTCCACAAGCGCAGTTCAACTGGTCGATACAATCTGAAGTGGCTAGTCTAGGTAATTCATCTTTCAGTCGAGGTAGCACCATTGGTCGTGTAGAGAATAATACGTGTAGTTAGCCAGTATTAAAAGTTCTTTGGATTGATTTTCATAATTTCTGCGTAATTATCTCACTTTGTATATCGCCCTTGAATCGTAGTCATGTATAAAGAGGCTTGTTGTTTACAGATAGTGAGTAGTACTTTTCCGTTTTCTTTGTCATGTGTTTCTTGATAAATTTGTCGGGATAGCCATTTTCGATCAAAGTATCACATACAATGCTTAATTCATCTTCAATTACTTCTTCTGAGCATATAGCTCTAACTCTGTGGCTGAGGGTCTTCACTAAATTTCTTTTGTACTTGATAGGAACGAAGCTGTGAAAATGTGTATATTGTCCTGTCCAAGTACTTTTTCTATGCAAATTTCTTTTTATGCTACCATCTGGTTTTTTCGTAAGTAGGACATCCAGGAAGGCAATTCTGTCTTGGGATTCCTCTTCGTATGTGAATTGCATAGCTGAATGTACTTCATTGAATTCAGTGATTATTAAACTCCTATCAGAACCATTATCACAAAGAATGAATTTGTCATCCGTATATCGGCAATAAAATGAGAGCTTACTGATAAGGTTGTTCAAAGGTTCATTTTCTAGCTTACTTCGAAAGAAATCAGCCAGAATGGGACCCAATGGGGAGCCCATCGCCACTATGTCCACTTGCCAGTTCACCTAAACCTACCCCCCAATTGATGAAAGGAAACTATCCTTTGCTGTCAACAGCAAAACAATTTGTCTACGTCTTCAGTATCAAACAAATCTTTATCAATTTGTCTATAATTGTACACAATTTAACCTGTTATAACTGTTCAACTCATCATTCTCTTTTATTTCTTCCTATGATAGGTGTAAACTGTTCAAATCAGAAGCTGATGATCGCTCAATGATGAAATTTTTTTTCAGAATCAAACCATTTTTCGTAATCTTTCTCTATCTATCTCTCTTTCGGCCTATCTCTCTGCTTTCTTTCTACTGTCATGAGAATAACAATAATAATAATAGTAGTAAGCATTAGTAGTATAATATTAACTTCAACTGAATTACTTCTAACAGCATTTCAGGAAGTAATTTACACCCCCATTGATGATTAGGAAAAAGACCAACAAACAAACATTTCACTATGTATCATTTGTCAAATATAGAAATAGCAAAATTTAAAAAAGCAACTAAATAATCATGTGCATTCATCATTCATACCTTATCGTTTGTTATATGTATAATTACTACTATGATGCGCACGGTCTATGCATGTGAATGCACTTTGCTATGCAGACAATACACTTTCATGTTATTCTACCCTCAAAGCAAGCCACAATTGTGATACTACTGAATTTTGTTTTGTTTTTCACTATTCAGATATCATAATTTCTTTCTTTAGAAAACAATGATTTCTATGTAACTTTTATACAGAATATTTAAATATTTAATTATAATTGTGAAAATTGTTAAAATTACAAACGTTCGAAGAATTCAGATGAAGATAATTCATCGGACAGTTGTTCACAAATGACAGCATTATTACTTCACCTTTGGAGTATTTAAACCATACTTTGCCTTCAAACGGTCTAATTCTTCCTTCTTCTTATCAACATCAGTTTTCTTAAATTGCTGAAAGAAAAAGAAAAAATGTTATGCAGATAAGAAAAGCACACATACACACACATAGATACAGACGCACAATAAAGTGAAAAAACTTAGTTGCTTGCAAACAATTTTGACTGTGAATGCAATTTATATCTGCTGAAAATGAAGATGCATCTAGCAGTAAGTTATCTAAGCATTTCACACAGCAGATGACTAGTTGAACTTATCCAGTAACACTGGTTCCACAGTAAGATATCCTTACGGTTTTCGCAGTTGACTGCCACTGTCCATCGCTTCTTAGTAGTTATGTTGCTGTACCTCAAACACCGGTGGTCCCGATGGCTCAATGTTAAACGAGCTCGACTTGTAACCTGAAAGTCGTGGGTTCGACTCCTCCTGGTGGGCTCATGGGTGGGCGCTCCTGAAGATTCTTAATCTAGGACGACACATCTGTCCAGTATTCCATGGTTATGTGAGTCGGTTGTTCGGTGGTAGAATACTCGCCAACCACCATACCACGTGGTACGTACGGGGTTCGATTCCCGGGCAGCGCACATCATAACCTCCCCTAGCTCATCATATGCCCAACAAAGAGGGAAGGTCGGGTGTGAGGCTAGCAACCCCGCCTCTGCTGCTGAAACTCTAAACCTCAAGCTTAAAGCAATATGTCCCACTGGGAACACAATGGAATTTTTAAAAAAGCTTAAACACTGAAATGTCATTTCTTCCATATAGTACAACAGTAAATGATAACCCGATAAAATGTGTTAAAAGATAAGTGAAACCACTGTCTAATATTCAGATATTTGGTAAACTAGCTGATGAAGACTTATTTCCGACCGTCTACACAGTTTACAAGCGTTGCAGTAATAGCAGTACTACACTGGTAGATTTGATGCTATTGCAGTAATAAGTGGATTGCAGTTCATGAATAAAAAACTTCAGTTGCAGAAGGAAAATAGGGTTGAACTTTGCAATAAAGTAGTTTGAACGAAGTCTTGAATGCTGAATCTAGCAGATATCTTATTTATTTGGAAAAATCAGTGGACATCTCACTACAGTACTGTCATTGGAGGTAATTTAATCAGACAAGTAATCAACTGTTTGTACAGTATACTACGAATAATTTGATCGTATATCTACTTATCACGACATTGTAAATATGAAATGCGACCAAAGAAATACACCAAGGTTACCATTAATACTGGAAGAATAACACGTTTTCAGAAAACCCGTAGTATTAATGTGAAGCACACATGTGAATTTAAGAAAACACAAGAATGGCACACTTCATTCCACAATATATTTTCTCCATAGTTGAATTCAGCTCTCGCCTAAATTTATGCTGTTTGACTGTCACCTAATCATGTGAATATTCTATCAACTAGATATACTGAATAGACCTTCAAAATCACCCGTTTTCTGCAATATACTTATATTCCACAAAGCGGTTTATTTCGGATGACAGCTCGATTTCCTGTTTTAATATATCTGATGTGTAAATAAGTAGAATTTCCTTTAACAAACACGCTAAATCGGATTGACAATATCTGAATGTATCCTATAGACTGATCAGATCAACTTGTCTTTCCTTCTAAAAAACTTTATTCCCAAATTTGGCATGTCGTGATCATTTCCTACCCTATACAGTGTTACTTCTCAGAGCAAGCAATGCCGATGATTCATACACAAATGAATCACCATGCATTTAAGTTATATTTTTAAAAACATGAAAGCAGAAATTACCTTATTCCTCTGGTAATATAAAACTACAAGATATCGATTGCACACATTGAAACCACTGAGATGATCACAGGCATTTTTAGCGTCGAAGATATCTTCGTAAATAACCAGAGCAGTGCCCTTAGTTTCAGGAGTGTTACCAATACGAATTTGACGGATAGCACCATACTTCCCAAAAATATCATACATTTCTTCTGCTGATATGTTATACGGCAAGTTTTTTACTAACAGTATCCTGTTAACTTCAGGTGGGAGACGAGTCTGACAATGAAATTTAAAGGAAACAATTAGTACTTGAAAGCGGATAGAACTATTAAAATATTTTTTTTCATTTAAAATAGTATTTCTAAGTTTACATAATGCAGAGGACAGTAACACTCTGACTAATTCAAATGATCGATCGAATTACCTTAAGTATTACTTGACGATAGTTTCGTTAAACTGGTGTAGATCGCCAACTATTGCAAAGAGAAACAAATATTACTCTGATAACTACAGCTTGACAAATATATTACCATATTCATTCAAAGGCTAAATGCTTTATCGATAGCTAATATCTTGACGTTGTATTTGGGCTAGTAAAGCACAACAACCTAACAAGATATACTTGCTGCAACTAATATCTCTATATTACCTACCACACCAGGTTAGGCCCGAGAGCAGTTTGACTGAAAGCTATAATCATCAAAGTGTAAGTTGTTTCCACGATATTGGGAGTCTGAGGTCCCTTTCAGATACTTCAGTCCAGCGGGTTGCTTCATAAAAATCTCAGTGACACAGGCAGCCAGTGGATGTTACGTAAGCCAGCCCACTGCGTACTTCTGAATGTGTATTGTCAACTGAAGTACTTCCAGTTTAGGCAAACACCTAAAGTAGACTGATATACATAGTTAATCCTTCAGGCACTGAAAGATAAAAATAAATGCATTTTTTCTGGTTGGAGTCTATTAGATAACCGATACGCATACTGAATTAAACTGAATTTCGACGTAGAACTATGCACGAAAGTGTACCACTTTCAGTACGCATAAAGGTAAAGAAGAAACTGCAGCGAAAATACAACAAAAATGTATGGAAAGAAGAATAATTACAGAATCTGGGAGATCACAAGGAGTAAAGAAATCTGCGCTACTAAGAACAAATTTGAGCCATGTCGTTAACTATCTTTAACTATTGGCTGTTAACATCCTAAACAAAAACCCCAACGAGCCAGTTTGCATCAAACTCCCAAACCAACAGTTAGAGACTTTGTGGATTGTCGACACGGTTATTTTCAATTACTCTACGTAATACAGTTCAAGTGATATATATATATATATATATTTTAAAGCTTATTCTCATTGTATCTAAGATACCAATATTTGCTTTATTTTTCGTCTCCTGACTTAAGTTCTAATTGATGAATGAAAGTATTGAACAACAGTTTCAGATCTTTTGTTGATCCTATTGCCATAAGTGATAATTAGAATACGGTTGGAAGCTCTACCCCAAAGAATATCAGCTGACCAAACGCTTTAGTCCTAACATAAGCAACACACGGCATAGTTTCGTACGATAATTAATTACTCCCTATCTTTAAGCTAGGAGTCAATGTCATCCAGTCCTGTAGCATCATCTTACATTTGACGGGAGTAAATCTCATGCCAAACATTCCAAGAGTGCTGCTCAAGGTATTCAGAAGACTCTGCATTTTGTCAGCGTCTTCGCCTAGGACTATAGCATGCCCATACTCTAAGTCAACGAGATTATACCTTGGTAACAAGTCAATCGAGGGATTTGAAAGAGGTTACTTCTTTCACTTATCTAGGGAGCATTGTCTCAACCACAGGAGGAACGGACGAGGATGTCAAATCGAGAATCGGGAAGGCGAGAAACACATTCATCAACCTGAAACCAATCTGGAAATCTTCGTCACTCACCATCAACAACAAAATTCGGATTTTCAACACAAACGTGAAGTCAATTTTGCTATACGGATCAGAAACTTGGCGGGTCACCAAGAATATTTTCAACAGGTTGCAGACCTTTATCAACAACTGTCTTCGCTCCATACTGAAGATTAGATGGCCGGAAAGAATCACAAACAAGAAGCTATGGGAACAAACGAAACAGGAACCAATCGCCCAACAAATATGCAGGAGGAAGTGGAGATGGATTGGACACTCGCTGAGGAGGCCGTTGAGTGACATCGCGCGTCAGGCCATAGCTCGAGTGGAACCCGAAAGGGAAGCGGCGAGTGGGATGTCCAAGGGTGACATGGAGGAGATCGTGTGAGGAGGAGATGAAACAGTATGGAATAACATGGACGCAAGTGAAAAGTACAGCACAAGACAGAAGCAAGTGGAGACGTGCAGTTGAAGGCCTATGTTCCACTAGGAACCCAAGGGAACAATAATAATAATAATAACAGGTCAATCCCTGAGTCGCTGAAGTCACTTAGGGTTAAGTCCATTAGTACATCTATGATGAAATTAAACAGGTATGGGGATAGTAGACATCCCTGACGGACACCGCTGGTTGTCACCACTTCATATGAAAACTCTCCGTAGGCTCTGATCTAGCTCCACGAGTTCGAGTAGAGTGCCTTGAACACTGCGATATATTTACTCGCCAATCCCTTCACAGCCAAAAATCGCCATAATACCTCTCGGTCGACGGAGTCGAATGCTGCTTTCAGGTGAAGAAATGTGACAATTGTTGGACGCCCGTAAGGATGCCTATGTTCCGGAATTTGTCGAAGATTTAAGATATGATCGATACACACTCTTCCTGATGCAAAGCCTGCCTGGTTTTCTCGTCTTTGTTCCTCCCGAGCACCGCTTAGTCTAAGCATGATTATTGAGTCTAGATAAAGCTAAGCCCCCTGTGATTATAACATGAGGCCTTGTCTTTTCTTGAATATCGGGATAATTAACGACTTACGCCAGCCCAACCGGACCACCTCTGATTCCCAGAAGTTACCTAATACCTTAGTTAACGCAGATAGTAAACTATCTCCACCATCTTTAAACACCTCTGAAGTCATTCCATCAGGTCTCACTGCTTTGCCTCGTTTCAGATTAGAGACAACTTTTGTAACCCCAGTTAGGGACGGAGAACCTGTGTTTCTTTCCAATTTAGGGAAGTGTTGGATGCTGGATAAGTTGAGCATGGCTGTATGCCAGTTAAATTGCTCCTCAGTGTTATTTCCAACGTTCCAGTCGTCTATCCCAAGGGCTGATTAAGGCGCCATTTTTCTCGGAGATCGTTTCATTTATCACTTGTGCTTTGCCACTTGTTTCCCTAATAAGTCTAAATAGTTGTCTGTTGCTACCTATCTGTGATGCCTTTCCCATCTCTTTCGCTTTTGTCACCCATCACTGTTTACGGTCCTTGACTTAGAATATGCGCATGATATAGTCCTTCTAGGTGAAGACACTGACAAAATACAGAGTTTTCTGAACACCTTGAGCAGCAATCTTCGAATGTTTGAAATGCGATTCACTCTCGTTAAATGTAAGATGATGCTACAGGACTGGATGACATTGACTCCTAGCTTAAAAATAGATAGGAGTGAAGTGGTTACTGAGCGTGTTGACCACTTTGCTTATCTGGGAAGTTGTTTCAGCCAACTGCAACGGGTTGATCGCTGACGAAATCTCAGCACGGATACTGAGGGCTAGTTTGGCATACACCAACTTACGCCACGTCTGAGGTAGACGTAGTATCTGGCTGTCATCTAAAGTATGCTCCGTTTTCCATTATGGATGTGAACGAGACATGACCATTGAAAATGGAAGATATGAAAAGGTCGGCTAGCTGTCTTTGATCAAAGGTGCCTGCGTTCTGTTTCCTGTGTTAGGTGGTATAATAGGGTGAGTAACATTGAGGTTGGGTGTCGAGTGCTAGGTAAGGGGGGGAAATCACTCAGCCAGGTTGTGTTACGCACACATGTCAAGCCATCGCCTTCCTCGACCAACGGGTGATGTTAGCTGACAGGATAGATCTGGTCGGAAAAGAGTTAGCCAACGGTGGTCAAACCGAAACATGGCCTCATCAGTCAATGAAATCCACAACAGTTAGTTCAAGTCAGCCACGTAAGCAGGTGTAGACTTACTGACTTATCGGAGTCCTCGGGATGGTAAGAAGCAATGAAGGCTGGAGACAGTTGATGATATGGCTCAAAATCCTCATTCTCAATAGCGCAGATGCATCCACTCTTTATAATTTATAATATCCGATAAAACTATCTCTCTTCTACATTACTACTGTTTTTGCATCATATTTCTGTTAATTATCCCTCTGTCTTTTGAATCTCTCTTCCGTCTTGCTTTGTGTACAACATGGAATGTGGAGACTCGAACTGTTGCACATCTGTGCAAAGTTCTACGGTGAAACCAGTCAGTCAGCCAGTTGCGAATGTATGAGAGGTGTATAACAGATAACCAAATGTGGAAATGTAACCCATTGGCTTCACCACTTGGTTTTCAGTCAATGAGTCCTGTATTCGAATCCTGTTCCACCCTCTTCATCCTGGACAACTGGGTAGTATCACCCACCCCCACAGTGACTGTGACATGCAGCCTAATACCTAAGAAATAAGTTCCAGTTAACTGACTTCTAACAGGAATCTGAGGACAGTCTAAAGTATAAACAGCTCATACTTATACTACCCACAGAAGACTTCAAACCCCTCCAAAGAAGGATATAGTAATGTCTCACTTCTTTAGATATTTCATTAGGATCAAGAAGATGTAGTCCATGAATGGACTGCTAACAATAACCATTCTCAACCGCAGAACGGAAGATCACGATTTTCCCAGAGTACTTCCGCGTAAGAAAATTAACATTTAACTAAGCAAACGCACCCTTTTTAATTCGAATGCTTTCTTTCACTGTACCTATAGATAGCATTCCGTGTGATTATTAATGTGCATACACTCCTAGAACCAACTCATACACACAAAGTTAAGAAACGAAGTCTAAGTACTACGACGCTGTTTATTTCATGACTACTGGGTATGGCAAAATGCAACACCCGAGGTGACTGTTTGTCAGAGCCTTTTCATAAAACACTTCTTCGATACCATTACCATAGGTTTAAACCCAGACGCACCTACCTACCTATCTAGAAATTAGCTCTCACGCAGTGTGGACCATTTCCTACCGCATTTAATCCAAGAACTGTACCATTATTTCAGGATAGATTCCCAAACTTTGAAAATTCAATTCGATTATAAACACTCCAGTTACTCCTATATAAGTGTATTTCTGCCATCTTGTGTCTTTGAACAAAAGTAGTGAGAAGACAACCCCAAATGGTTTGAAAAGCAGCAAAGCACTGAAAGGTATTTTTATCTGATACACTCTAAAATGCATTCAAACGCCTTGATGAGAACGTACTACAACTAGTATGCGTTAAATGTGCAATACCTTGCTCAATGTAGCCTTTTGGAAGTTAGAGTATTGTTCAAAACAGAAGACAGTTGAGTGACATGTTAAGTGGGTACACTCACCTTCCATATCGACAGCATTTGTGGCAGCTAAACCACCGTTTACCTATTTGTAAGACACTTTATAATGAAGATTTGTATCTTTTAAACGATTCCAGCATTGATATGTCTACTCCTACTGATCCGTCCCAAGATGAGAACCCTAAAGTCCTCATATAAAACTTAAAACTGAATTTTAATTACCAAGTAGGTCACAGTTCTACCAGTTGTCAGTGATAGCAGTTTCTTTAGGCTCATACTTAATCACTCACATTCAGTGTGTAGAGGAACAGTTTAAGAACCATTCACTATAATGTGACTGCAACTTTCCTGCAGATGTGCCACGCGGTCGTAATTTAGGACTGTAAGATTAGTGTTAACACTATTTTATATGCTTATGAAAACTAAGCATAAGAAAAACACTTACACCATGAATCTCTCGCCTAATACAAAGAAAATATAACCTTTACAGCGTCGTTCGAGTGACATATTATGTATTATTTGGATCTCTTCCATTTGTCATTACGTGGGACGCTACGATCTAAATTTTTCTACGATTCTCATTGACTGAATTGATTTAATTCTCAAATAACAGGGAAATACAAATAAGCTCACCGCATTTTTTCGTCCTAAAGCCATTGCACTGTAACACAAATAATAAAGCACCCGCCAAAAATGTCCAATAGAACCAAAGGAAGATATGATTATATTCCGAGAAATTCAGATATGAGAAGCGTTGCAGAATAAATGTCAACTGCCAACTTATATCTCTTGTATGTTTCTGTATCATGAAAAGATACAAATATGCTTTGTCCAACTGACGTTTACTTTTCAGTTGGATCTAAATAAATACTTTTTTGGATCCAACAGACTTCAAGTGATGTAGTATATCATATCTTGTTTCATTCTCAAAGAGAAGAGTGCGGGCTACTAAGGCCAAATTTTTCGTACCGACTAGTATCATGCACACTGGCTGATTCTTGCACTATTCACAGGACGAATTTATTTACCGACAGACCTAAACAGACAATAACCAAGGATTAGTGAGATATCCATTTTCGTCACTTCTTTATTAAATGTCACCTGCTAACAGAGTCATTTAGGAATGGAAGGAAAACGATAAACCATTTGTAAAACCAATGAACGATCTTAGGCCTTTTAAGTGCTCTGGCTTATATCCTAAATCCATCACATACACAGAAAATAACCGAATGTTAATAACTGCAATTTACGAACGCCTAGCCTATTTAAGTAAATTTTATGTACTGACCCTGTAGGTAGCTTTTCACATGCAAACTGCTGAGTAACATGACTGAATGCTTCTGTAAGTTCATAGTGTCCTATAAACGTACGTCATTTAATTATTATTATTCCATTGGGTTCCGAGTGGAACACAGGACTTCAACAACACATACCCGCTTTGTTCTGTTTGTTGATGTCCTTTTCATCTGGGTCCATGATTGCCCATAATCTCTCATCTCCACCCCTCACGATCTCCTCCATGTCAACCTCGCACCGACGACCCATCCACCACTTCCCATTGGGATTCCACTCGAGAGGTGGCCTGCATTGAGCGAAATGTCTTTTGACCACCTCCTTAACGTATGCCCGATCCAATTCCACTTTCTCCTACATATCTGTTGAGCGATCACCTCTTGGTTACTTCGCTACCAAAGTTTTTTGCTGCTAATTCTTTCTGGCCAGCCATTTGATCTTCAATATGGACCCAATGAAGGTGACAACTGTTGACTAAAGTTTGCTACCTGTTCAAGATGCTTTTCGTGAAGTAAACTCCAAGTTTCTGACCCGTATAGAAGAACTGACTTGACATTTGTGTTGAAAATCTGAAACTTGTTCTCTGTGATGAGTGACCTCTTTCAATGGTATTCCGTTGATAGTGATTAGTGCTTATTGCTGTGGTTGGTTGATTTCATCACCTCTATCTTCTCTACGTTCACCTGCAGTCTTGTCTTCTCTGGTTGTTTCTTCTTCCAACTTGTTGGTTTTCAAACTCAAGTCATCGATTCTGTGTGGCATTTAACATAAACCGTTAAGATCTTCTTGAGTCTTCCTGTCGGTCAGTCCAGCGTATTCCGGTCTTCTCACTCCCCATAGTTTGACGCATTAACCAGTCCACCACACTTATGAATATTGTCTTACTCCCATCTTAACTCGAAGGGCTTCATTGAGTTTTCCGTTGTGGACAACCTGACACCGTCATATAACCGCTAAATGAGGTTAATAAACACTTGGGCACTGCACACCATAGGGTTGAAGTAGTTTCCAGATTACTTGTCGGTCAACGTTGTCGAAAGTCTTTTCGAAGTCGATAAAGTTCAGGAAGATATTTGACTACCATTCTATGCTTTGTTTTGTGGTGACGATGTGTAGAGTTGCAATTTGTTCAGTTCATGATTCGCCTTACTTGAATACAGCTTCATCTGGTTGAGGGGGCGGAGTTCCGTATCCAGTGCATCTTTAATTCTTCCCAGGACGACACAACTTAGTATTTTACTAGGCTTGGCCAGTAGCGTTATTCTGAGTCAGTTTTTACCCTTGTTTTTTAGCTTGACGAGGAAACCTTTCTCCCAACCAGTAGGCATTTTTCCTTTCAAACTTTTGCAGTGATGGCGTCAGCACATTTGTTACAGTCTCTGGGTCCGTTTTCAGTGATTCGTTGGGAATTCCGTCTAGCCCTTCTGCCTCACTGGACTGCAATAGCTTATATGGTTTCTGCACTATTCTTTCCACGTCACACAGCATAAAATTACTAAGGATTCTCAGCTATGAAAGGTGTGACGTGTGCATCTTTTGTCGTAATATCCTGCGTTGACGACGCAAGTGGAGACCATACAGAAAAGAAGGCATCTTCCTGCACTGCATAAAAGCTATATTTGAGGACAATTCACCATTACTGTTATTCAGACCTGGCCTTCGAGGTGGAATATAGTCTGCCCGTAACACATTTTCATTACTGGTCAGTCCTTCATTGCCTGACTTCTCTTTGGCATATATGCCACCCACCAGGATCTTGAAGATTCAGTTTGAGGTCTTATTTATTGCTACCTGCAGTCCTCGGTAGAAATTCCGCCTTCCTCTGTCCCCTGCGTTGTTTGTGCACGCACAGCATTATGTTATTGTAACTTTCCTTTATGCTGAGTTGAATCTTTCTGTAATGATTCTGGCGGAGATTAGTCCTCTCTGCACTAGAGCTTTTGATGTTGTTCGTGACATCATGATACCCACTCAGTCAGTCTGCTATTTTCATCTAGGCAAACAGGGTGGGCTTTTGTGTCTTCTATTTACAACAATCGAGTCCTAACACCTTTATGCTACATCCAATTTCTTATCCAGTCGAAACAGCGCAGATGGTTTCAGACTCGATGTAGACGTTGTATGTCTCAATGTTTACTCTTGCTTTCGACTTATAGTTCAACTAGCTTTGCTAGGGCTTTTACCAGTAGGCGTCATCCATCCTGTGATTAAGCAGCCTTCTTGACTCTATGGACAAGTAAGCTCATTTCTTCTGTGCTTTAAACTTTCTTCTACGAAGCGTTTAGGAGTCCTCATTACAAGCTGACATTTCGGTAGGGACAAGGCATTTCGGTTGAACAGAATCGATTATAGGGAAATTCAAAATAAATTTTATTCAATCGAATATTTCTTAGTAAATTATGTTACACCCACTGCATGAACAACTCTCAATGAATATGCACACTCGTATTCTTCAACTCAAAATCCAAAACAAACTAAACCTTTCAAAAGACATTCGTACCTAAACCAAAACAGTTGAGGATACTGTAAGATATACGATTTTATTTAACAAAATATACCAGGTAGTTCTGGTGAAAACCTCCACCTATGAGACTATCTGGTATCCAAATATCAAGAGCGAAATGGCTAAATATAGGATGGCTCTGAGTTATGAAAAATGCGCATTCAGACAAAAAATCCACGGCAGCCCAAAACTGCCTAACTTAGACAAAAATGTACAGGGGTACACAAAGCACAGATGTAGTAATTGAAGGTAAAATATTAGACGTAACGCCCCATACTATTTTATTGAAGTAATAAACAGGTAAGTAAACGCTTCACCTAGTATTGAGTTGAGCGAACAGACATTTTTCAGAGCGGGCAGTGAAAGTCCTGATGAATAAGATTGCTACCTCACTTCACTCATATTATTACTACCATCAATAGTCATTTGAAATAATGAACATTCTGCGGTAATTATTTTCACCAGATGGTCCCCTTGCTGTTGATGCCACAGACAAATTTTCTTGGAGTAGTTTGTCTGGCTGCGTACCAACCCATTTTCTTAGGGTTTGGACGCATGCTTGCGTAGAATACCAGCATCCATTCGAACCCCTCTATATAGTGAATGCACTCTGTACTAACTTTCATCTCGGCAATGATGAATAATTCCAATCTCCAAAAGATCATTAGCATGTGCACTTATAAATCGTTTCACTCATCGGCCAGAAACTATTAACACTGTCAAAATGGCTTGTCAAATATTCACAGGAAGATGAGCAGCACAGTTCAGGTGTCTTTCTACTATGATAACCGAGTTAGACCAGCAATCTGAACCTGTTAATTTCAAGAAGCTTTTGAATTTTCTCGCACGCAGACGTACTGGGGAAAATTTTCATCGCCAACTTCAGAATACTCCAATAGTTGCAGACAAAGGTACATGGGTAGATTCTCCCCCACTGGTCCTTCTAGGCATCCATCCTATTCTCAAGGTAGATTTACAGTGAGATTTAGCTCAGCTAGCTTACGAAACCACTCCCCTCTTACCCGACGAACTAGTTCTTCTGGATGGCAATTTGCAGAGTTTTTCTTATGAATGCAGTCATGCCCATATTTTTACACACCACATGGGTTAAATTCAAGCAACCGTAAACTGTACAGAGGACTTCATGACCATGAAAGCGTTTCTGTGAACAGCTACATTAATTTTCATGTGTTTGCAAGGTGTTTCTAAATAAATGTAGAGATTCCCAAACTGTCTTTCATGAGACGGATAACCACTAGATGTGTATAACACTAAGACATAAGTAAAGATGAAGCATTTCTTATGCAGCTAGCCACACAAGCTAGCACTGAATCATGAAAACTTAGTTTTATTTGTCTGACTATGAAACCCGCAGACTAGATACGGCTATCAAGCAACATTCATTGCTACAGAATAGTAAGAACTCTCAAGTCGCACAAATGAACACTACATAAAAACTCTCCAATTTATAACTTATTGACAAATAACCATGATGGATCATAGACGTCAGTGAAGCCATTCAGTTTGCTTAATGTAATGTCTTCAACAGCCGCCCTCGCTGGCCCCATACTGAAGATCACATTACCGAGAAGGCTTAGCAGGATAAAACTCTGAGAACAAAACAACCAGGAACTTGCTGCACAATAAATATTCCGAAGAGAATGGCGATGAGCCGGCCACACACTGAGGAGACTGTTGGATGACATAGCACACCAAGCCACCCCTAGAGTGAAACCCAAATGGGGAAGGACGACTTGGGCGAGTGTCGAAGAGTGACATAGAGGAGATCATGTTAGGAGGATATTAGAAACTGTGGGCAATCTTGGGTGAGGCCAGAGGGGATTTCAGAGAAAAAGATGG